AGGAGCTCCGCAGGTCTATTAACGGAATGTTGCTTATGTTTTTGCATTGAAAGTAGACCCCACTAGCTTATTTTGAGTTTTTGTGCTGGTTCCTGTAGTTCTTTGCTGGAAAAGATGATGAGAACTGATATGCATCTGCCCTTTCCGTGATACTCGCCGCATTTGACTCCTAGCACATTCTTCCAAGGTATCTTTTCCCCAACCGAGCAGTCCTAGTTTATTTAATCCCTCTTAGTAGAAAAGCTATATATTGTGCATCCTTGAGCCTTTCTTGGAACATTTTCAGGTTCTAGCTTATGGGTTTTGATATAACAAATAAGAGGATAAGCATGCAGAACTGTAACACTAGATCTTGATTCTTCTGATGCTTTCTTTTTAAACCTAGATATATTTTACTTTTATAAATAATGGAGATTTCAATCTTACTTATCCTGCTGTGTTTCATTTCCCCAATCTCTGAGGCACAGATAGAATAAAATACTTATCTCATGAGATCGTTAGGCAGATTAGTGTGCTTCTTCTACTCTTTGTAACATAAGGAACACGCTTCCCCTGTCTGCTGATCCAGGAGACAGATCGTTTAGGAAGTGGCTAAACAGCGTCTTGCGAAGGCAGAGCTCGGTTCCAAAGGGCCCTCTGAAACTGTGAGACCAAGTGTAGGGTGGATCCAAGCTAAGTGATTATTGCTTTTGCAGTCATCAGCATAGGCGACATTTAAAAAATAAATAAATAAAAATACTAATAAAATACTAATGGAACAGAAGCTCCAATTTAATATTTTTCCTGTAAAGGGTTTCATGGGAGGAAGTTTCCTCATAGCTACTGACTTTAATCACAATTAAAGTATTCTAAGTGTTCATATTAGATGTATTTTCTGAATTACTGGAAAAATGTGGTGGGACTCCTTCTGTGTGTATAGTAGAACTCCCATGCAGCCTCTTAGAGCTTGTTATAGAAACAGAACATTATTTATTTGGCTTACTCTACATGTGTATATATATAGAGAGAGGTATTAATTTATAGTTCCAGTAGTATTTTATACACAAATTAACACAYGAGGGTATCAGAGAGTATGTGCTTGATTAGCAGTAGTATGGGTATAAAATAAAGCAAGCAAAGTAAGCTTTTGAAATTGGTGCRTTTCGGAATATTAAATATCTGTTCCCTGATTTCTTTATAGGTATAATATTTTGAATACTGTACAGACTCCAGTCATATTTTGAAGTAAYCTAAACCATTAAAAAAAAAAAACATTTGATGCGTTTCATTGAACTTTGAGATATGAAAGAATAAAGAAACCTAGGCCACAGATTGGCTTCATTTGACATTAAGTGTGCAGCTTTTGAAATGTTGACTTTTTTTTTTCAGGTTAGACACATTGAAACTAAAAGGAGCACATTAAAATTAAAAGAAGAGCCATTGTTATCTTTAACATGTATATGTAACAGCAATGAAAATCAAGCAACTGCTGTTGTGAATCATAGTTACCATAGTAATATGTTCCCAAAGTCACTTGGAGATCTTGGAGATTCATTTATATTAATAGCAGTAAAGAAGACAGGCGAAGTTGCCAATAGCATGTATGTGGTTCTGTGTGTCACAGACTTCCACTGTTTACAATAGGGTAAGWTTTTATTAGCAGATGACCCAGTTGTCACTGCTGGGACATGACAGAGTAAATTACAGAGTTGGTTCTCAGTCCTTTTCATGCAATGCTGAATAATTGCTTATAAATAACCCTCTGAAATCAGTAGCAGTAGGTCCAGGACAAGTCACTAGGGGTCCAGGCCAAGGTGCAATTTAAATAATCTTCCATTAATTTCAGTACAGTCTGATTGGGTTTGTACTTATATAAAAGGATACCCCAAATTGTTACTGTTCAGTATCCTATGGTTTCCACATCAGGCGCTGTATAGGACTTGCACATAAAACTAGCTGTACAAAATTAAGACACAGGCAAGTATAGAGAATGTTTTGCAATGAAAGGAAAGATTTTATGGCTTTACATGAGCGCTGTTGTGTAGAGCTTGAAGATGAAAGCAAATAATTATTTTCATTTAGAGGTTTGAGAATTCCCATCAGAAAGCAACTAAATAGACTTCACACAAATAGCATAGCTATTAATATCTTTTTGTTGCACTAATATAAAGAACATAGTGCAGGAAATCAGAATAAAGATAGAAATTGACTTTCAAGGACAAAAATAATGATCTTCATTGAGCTACATTTGAGGAGATGAGGAAACAGAAAAGACAACTTGAAAAATGCTTTTGCAGTTGTTGATATTCAAGTTCAGTGCTATAATCAGCAAATGTATGTATCATGATGACAAAGCGCAYTTGCTGGGATGTTGATTCAGCAAAATAACTTATAATATTATTCAGCTGTTCGAAGTGTCTAATACTTGGACATCAATTAGCAAGAAAAATTGAGGAGAAATGCCAAATCGCTCAAGGCAAAAATTCTGTAGAGACAGTATTTCATGTTATGCTGCTTCATGTATAATATGTTGCACACACAAAATTCAACTTAATGAAAAAATCTGTGATTATTTATAGAAAAGTTAACCTTGCTCTTATTTTTTCATAGAAATGAATATATTACATAACTGACTGAAGCAAATCTATTTGCTTATTAGTTAGAGGACACTCCCTGACTTAACCATTTTCCAAAAAATAAGTTGACTGTGAACATCTTTGAGGTGCTGTTTCTTCCAGAACCACATACTGATTTCACTTTGCACAGCAGTATGTGCTACAACAGAGTAAAATAGATTTTGAGCCAGCTGAAGGTACAGAGTTTGTGCTGACACCTGCAGCCAGAGTCCCCTCTTCTTGTAGTCTRAGTGCTGGATATTTTTATGGGGTAGAGATAGATGGGTGGATGGACAGATGGATTAGACAGCCCCCCATACATCCAGATTGCTGCAGATATGACCTCTTTCTGGTTAAGAGATCCAAACTGTCCCAGTCTGTGTATATCCCCTAGTTTTGTCAGGGAAAATATTCAGGAATGTCAYGCACGCCCATTGCAGTCATGTCCATTCATATGATTGCAGATGAGGCAGAGGAACAGAAATGTGTAGGCTCYGGTATGTATGTCCAGAACCTGCAGCAGTTGCTCTTCAGGGCATGTTTGTTTGTGATATGGGAATAAATATTCAGAGAATAATTTAAAAGAAAGGACCCTTGAGACTAAATCCTGGGATCTACAAAACTTGGGAATGGCTGTGATTTTGGAAAGTTGCTCAATCTGTATTTTGAAATTGAGGAGCTTGGAGTACTGCAGCAAGCGAACAGCTTTGTATCAGACCTTTACATAGAGGTGCTGGATGTCTTTTCATTCTAAAATACCTATGTTGCAACAGCGGTAACTCTTTATTTTCCCATTAAGAAAAGGCTTGGATCTCTCCAATTCTGCCTTCAAATTAATGAGCAGTATGAAGTAATCTAGTAGAGGACATCTCCCTAGCCCTAAGGTTTGTGATTTTCACAAGAGCTGCTGATGTCTCTAAAAACAGCAGGAATATATGTTTGCCCACGTCAAAGGTTCATTAATAACTTGACCACAAGCACATTAGGAGAGCTGTAAAAACCTCATGCTATATCTTAACATGACATTTCCTAACATATAGGAAACAGTTCAGGTACTGCAGCGAGTGACCTGTGTAACTAAACTGCTCTGCATCAGAGAACTTCAAGCCTTTGCTGTCCACTGGTGGCCTGCATTTTCATTCCAGTCACTGGAATCTTTAATTAATTACATTGTCAGTTATAATGAAGTCTTCATAGGAAAACTGCTGTACTTGGACGCTTAGTGAGAAGAAAGAAGGCAGCCCTAGAAAAATAAATTGGAAATGCAAATATTGTACCACATTATCTAGCCTATTGTATATTCTCTTGTATCTTGAATTCCTTTTTCCCCTTGAAATGGATCGCTCAGAACTTACGATTTTCAAGAGTTACATGCTATGTGTAACATTCTTGCAGTATTGACAATTTTACTTAAACATTCTATGTATATATAATCCTTTCCTCGTAAAACTAGTGGTTCATAGAGAAGACCTCGCTGACGGGATGACATGGCCCTATGTAGAGCACTTGGCACACAGATACGCTCGTGCCGCATCGGTGGGTGAGTTTGCTGGCCACGTTACACAGAATGACAAAATCCCAGCACGGTGGCGTGCTCTGAAGCTGCGGGTTTTTAACTTTTTTTTTTTTTTTTTTTTTGAATTTTCTCGATACCTAAGCTCTAAAATCTATGTATCATGCCAGTAATATTGCCCTTTGCTACGTTTCTTCCCCAAATGCTATCTCTATGGGATTTTTGAGGATGAATGGGGCGTTATCTTGGGCAATAACGATTCTCGGTCGCTTTTGCTCTGTTTTGCGCTAYGTTTACTGCCGGCCCGCGCCTTGCCGTGCACGGGAGGGGATAGCGAGGCCAGTGTGTGGGAAGCGAGCTCCCTGCGGACACCGTTAGCGGCGGCGAGGCCGCGCGCGGGCACAGCGCAGCGGCGCCGCCATCACCGTGCGCCGACACTGGCGCCTGCCGAGGCCGCCGTGCAGCGCCGCGGCCGCTGA